AGACGGGCGCTCCCCGGGCTGCGCGTCCCACGACCCCGGACGGACAGAACCCCTCCCCACCGGCCGCCCCCTGCCCAGGACTGCGGGACGCGTCCCCCCCAGGGGTACCCAAAGGATGCTCCTGGAAGGGTCCCTCTCGCAAACTACCGGGAGCTGGTTCCGCAGCCAACAGCTGACAGCCAAAACGGCTTTGGAAACGGAGTCCAAAGGACTCAAGAGAGGATCGAGATCGAGGCGTCGGTAGCCAGCCCTGATCCCTCGGAAGCTCTGATGTTCAGCTCGTTTTAATTCCTTTCTAGCGTCTGGAGATAAACGCATATTACTATTAATACAACGCCTTTCTCTTGGCTCCGGGTCTCATCTGGGGCAATACGATGAAACAGTAATCTCTCAACATCTGACACATCAAACATTCCCTCGGTGTACACCTCGTTTCGGGGCAAAACTTAGGCTGGATGCACACTGATTCTATTTTCCTGCCTTTCTTTCTAGTCAAATCGGAAGCCTTCCTTGAACGACTTCCACACGCAAGCCTCAAGGTGGTTCGTAAAAAAAAAAAAAAAAAAACAACAACAAAAACCAAACACCACACACACACAAAAAAACCCTCATCTCTTTTAGAAAACGGGTTATTAACCAAATCGATCATTAAAGAAGAGGAGAATGCTTGTGAGATTTTCCCTGATGGAGAATAAACGCCCTCCTCGCTGCCCGAGGGCGTTTTGTCCCCCGAGATGTCTGTAAAGGACACGGGCTGGTGCTTTACGTGGTCTGGATATACAGGACATCATTCGTGTAAAGATCCGAATGCACTCCCTCCTGATTTACATCGACAAGGGGGGTGGGGGTGCTGGACAACCCCCTCCCCCAAATTAACCATCACCAGCTATCACTGACTATTGAGGTTGTGGAATTTCGTGGTGGGGATGCTGCTCACGGCCTGATGGATACAGGAGCGAGGATGCTGCGGCAGTGCCTGCCCGACACCTCCCTCCGCCTCCAGGCTGGGAAAAGCGGAGGTGGGTCGGGGGGCAGCCTGGAGCCCGGGGGAGGCAGAGGGGGAGGCGGAGCTGGCCAGGACAGGCCGTCGCTGCTGCTGCTGCTGGAGCCGGTCAAACTGCACAGCCGCTTCCCCCAGGAGCTTCCCTTTCATCTCCCCGCTCCTGGCGCCTGCAAAACAGCCTCAGTTTGTCTGCAGCGTCTCTCTTCCCCCTGTACTCCCTCCCTCCCCGTCCCGCTCCAGCTGAGAGCCCGAGGACCGGGGTGCCCACAGCCCTCCCCGGCTCACGGGGGCTGGTGCTGTAGGGGGGCGGGGGAGAGGCAGAGGGACACAGCGGGTTTCTGGGCATCCATGGGACCCGACCGTGCTCCGTGAGGCGGTTTCTGACGGTGGCTTGGGGTTGGGGGTACAGGGGCCAGGGGCCGCCCCGGGAGCCGGCCGAGTCCACCGAGTCCCGACGGCCGAGCCCCGGCGACCGCCCAGCCCGGGAGCGGGATCTCACTGGGCACACGAGGGGGGAGCCCGGCGCAGGGGAAAGCCCCCGAACTCATGTCGTTTCCCCCGGTTAGGAGAATCCCTTGCTGGTCTGAGACTGGGCGGCCGCTCTGAGATCCTGGATAGGGGGAAAAGCCTTTATTCCTAGAAATTTCTCCAAATCCCATCGTGGCGAGGTTTCCGTCTGGACATTCAGTGCCGTGTGGGGCTCCATTCTCTGATATTTAACTGACAGGAGGAGGATGAAGGAGAGGAGGAGAGAGGAGAGAAACCTCCACATTCAGACTTTCGACAGAAAATGCTCCAACCTCACAATGGACTAAAGCTGAAGAGGGCAAAAGCCACGAGCAAACCCTGCCATGCTTTGCTATCCCAGGCACCCAGAGTATCGCGAGGGGGGGGTGGTCCTCGCAATGGACCCAGCTTCCATCTTGCATGGGGAGATGAGACATACATACACACAAGAGCATATATGACTCGCAAAATGGCGAATTCCTTTATTACAACAAGAAGACAGCTTATATAGAGGGGACTATAGAAGGGTCTCGAACCGAGGTGGGACCCCCAGTAGGAACATCGAATCCCGAGGGGTTCTGATAAGGGAACTTGGAGAGATAGGCTGTAGGGATATGTCTGTTCACTTAGGGGGAAGGGATAGCTAGGGAGGAAGGGAAGGTGTGGTCTGGGGGGCACAGGAGAGGGGAATCCTGCAGAGGTCTGTGAGGCTGCTCCTTGTAGCTGGGTCTCAGGCAGTTCTGGGCAGCTGTTGTTGCTAGAGGACTTACTCTGAGCCTTTCTTGCAGTTCTTTCTGCATTCTTCTCCATTCTCTGCAGGCTTCTGCTGGTCCCACCTCCGACACCAGAGTAGGCTGGATGAGCCAATTTCTGCTCCGTGCTTCACAGCACTGAGAGCAGCTTGTCCCTTGGTCCCACTCCTTCCTCCGACCTCCCAAAGGATGACAGCACAGAGAAGCCTCTCCAAGCCCACGGGATCGGTGTGGGACCTTGCACACCCAGGCCACAGCCGGACACCTGGGGAGAGAACCTGCACCCAAGGGACGTGATCGGTGTCACCATGACCTACCCTCCCCCGAGCTCTCCTTCCCCAGGCGCCCTTCCAGCGGGCATTGACTTTGGGAGCGCGGTATAATTATCTGCAGCATTTTCGGCAGCCCCACAATGGCTTTCCACGGGCGGTGCATTGTTCTTGACACACATACATTGTTCCTGCATGTCCATCAATTCTCATTTACTTGTCACGGTGCAGGAAGCATGGAGAAGGGAAAGGAAGGGGAGGGCGGGGGAGAGGGACAAACTGAACCTCACTGCAGTAGCAGAGCTTGCAAGGCCGGGGCTGCCAGGCTGCTGTCTTGCATCTCTCTAAGAGCATCTCCAGGCAAAGAGATGAGCTCTGTGGGGGTAGAAAGAGCATCTGGAGAGGTATTAGCTTGTGGCACTGACTATTATTTTCACCCTTGGAGAAAAGCCCAAATCAGTGCTCTGATGACTGAAATGTTGCAGTCAGGTTAGTTGGACTGAGACAGTGAGAGGCATCACTTCTCTTTGCAGATCTTGCTTGGCTTTAATCCTTAACCCATCGAGGTCTGCAGTAACACTGCTGGGAACAAGTAATGAGTGTGCAAACCCTGCTATTAGTCCCTCTGATGAGTGGGGTTTTGTAACACGGCTTCTCTTACACGTCCTCCCACACTCCTTCCCACACCGCAATCTCATGCCCCGGTCCCAATTTGCTATCCATGGCACCAGGCGAGATGCTATCAGAGCTGGGGCGGCTCAGATACTTGTTGTCCGAACCGGGGCATGGGTGATCAGGGCTTTAAGCTGTCGGGAGGACCCCTGGGCCCAGCACAGTGCACTCAGTACAGCTCCATCCTCTAGGTGGGAAGTCGTGATTTGTGTTTGCAGGACTGGGGACTTCCAAGATTGCTGCAGGGAAGTCAGGAGTCCAAATAGAGCATAAGATGAGCTAATTAAATCCTACCTGTTTTACGGAAGCGATACATCCAAAATCGGTCATGAAGCAGAGCTCTGCAACTGCCCCAGAACCGAGCCCGCAGCTTTGTCAAAGCTGCCCCTGAAGTCAGGGCTTGGGGAGAGAAGTTGTGCCGCACAGACCTGGGCAGATGCACCGCCGCCTTCCCAGAGTGTTTTGTTTTTTAGAGCCTCAGTTATAATTTATAACACTGAAACGGCTCCCAAAACACCGCGTTTCCTGGACGTTAAAAAAACAAAAGGGAAAAAAAAACACCTGAGAAAGTTGCGGGCACAGCATGAAATAATGCCCGGTGTAAGATTAAAATAATTATGAAAAGAACAATATGTATTCGCTTTTATCCGCGCTGTAATTATAAACGCTTTTTAAAGGATACTCTTTATTCATACCACTGGTAGGAAGTCAAAAAGTGAGAGAATCGCTTTCATAGTACTGGTTTGATATGACTTTTAATTAAGTACTGCGTGTCCCTAATTTATTAAAGCTCATCTACTCATCACGTGTGTAATTGACGCTGGAAAAAAAATAATAATTACAGATCTAACCTCTGCAGAGTGGTTTTGCCCGACTCGGGTCCTGCTGCCGTGGAAACGCAAACAACAAAAAACCATCCTATTTGGGTGAAAAACGAGCGGCTCAGACAGGCTCCAGCGTTTCACCGCGGGGGCGTTTGTCTGCGCTGGGGTCCGCATCGCTTAACCTGCATTCCCCGTCCCGCATCTTCCATCCCGCATCGCTCATCCCGCAGTTCCCCAACCCCGCGGCCTCGGGAAAGCGACGCGTTTCTCTGGGAGCCGGTGGGGGGAGGCGGGCAGACCCCCCCCCCCCGGGGCGGGTGGCGGGGCAGGGGAGCGGCGGTGCCCGAGGTGGCCGCCGGGGGTCCGGGAGGAGGCGGACGGGACCGGGAGGAGATGGGGGGCCCCGGGAGGAGCAGGATGGGGAAGCAGGAGGGACTGGGTGACCGGAAAGAGATGGAGGGGTGGGGAGTAGCTGAAGGGGGGCCGTGAGGAGGCAGGGGAGCCCGGGAGTAACTGGCGGGAGGCTGGGAGGAGCCGGGCCGGCGGCAGAGGGGGCAGAGCCGCGATCCTCTGAAGTTTCCTCTTCGCCTCATCATCAGCCTTAATTACCGCGGCGGGTTTGTGTGGTGGTGTTTTTTTTTTCCCCCTTGCTTTGCTATGATTACAGCCCTTGGACGGCTCCTTAATAGCAGCGCTCCGCGGGCTGCCCGTGTCATTAACTCTTAATTCAATCCTGGGGGGGGTGAGGGGGGAGGAGGGAACACCCCAAACAGCATCACCCAAAAAACCCAGAGGCAGAGACGGAGAGGCGCTTTGGTCCCGCCCCCCGGGCGCCGCGAGCCAATGGCGTGATTCACTCAGCCACGTCAGGGGCCAGGGCGGGCGCTGATTGGCCCGCGGGGCGTTCCCTCGGCTTCCCAAAGGAGGACAGCGCCGGGGAGCCCCAGAGGGGGAAAAGGGGGGCGGCCGGGCCCGCAGCGCCTCACTCGCCGGGCAGAGGCGCCGCGCAGCTCCAGAGCTCCCTGCGCACCGCCATGGCTTCTCCTTCCAAGGCGAAGGAGGTCTTCTCCTCCGACGAGGAGGGCCCGGCGGCCGGCGGCGCCGAGGAGCACCACAAAGTGAAGGTGTCCAGCCTGCCGTTCAGCGTGGAAGCGCTCATGTCCGACAAGAAGCCCCCCAAGGAGCCGCCGCTGCCCGCGCCGGGCGGCAGCGCCGACGGAGCGGCCGTGGGCACCTCCAGGAACCTGCTGCTGTCGGGCCACGGGTCCCGGGACGCGCACAGCCCGCCCGGGGCGCTTACAAAAACCTTCGACACCGCCTCGGTCAAGTCGGAGAACTCGGAGGACGGCACGTCCTGGATCCAGGAGGCCGGGAGATATTCCCCGCCGCCAAGTGAGTGCCCGGGGGCGCGGCGGGGGTTGCATGGGGATCGAGGGCGGGCGGGCGGACACCGCTCCGGCCGCGGGCTCCGAGCGCCGAGATGCCCCGGAGCACGCGAGATAGAGACGTGTAGGTCTTATATTTCATAGTAAATATTATATTCCCATCCCTGGAAGTGGTCAAGACCGGCTTGGATAGGGCCCTGAGCAACCTGGTGTAGTGAAAGGTGTCCCTTCCACGGCAGGGGGTTGGAAGGAGATGATCTTTAGGGTCCTTTCCAACCCAAACCATCCTGCGATTCCATGATATTTTAGATATGTATTCTTAGCCACACGTGTGTAATTTTTAGGTGTATGTTACATATTTCTTCATATATATGTTAGGCTTATATATTTTTATAGTTATATATTTACACATTTATATATTTATATATATGACTGTATGTGTATATATATAAATATATACTGCTTTCAAAACCATGGAAAGATCAGAAAATACCATGGTCCAACTCCCTGTCCTGACACGCTGCTCTCCGGCTGCCGGTTCGTCCATTTAGACTATCCCATTGTAACAACAACTGGATTTTCTCGCTGTTACCTTCTGCCTTACATGGTGCACAGCAATCTCTTAAGCCCGGCAATTGTCCATTCCAGCCTTGTGCGCTCTCTCCGCCCTGGCTCCCGCCGCCGTGGCTCCCGACACGGGATTGTTCCTCTCTCCCTGATTCCCTGCAGCCTGTCAAAGTTCCCCGATCTGGACCTGACCTCTTTAGCCCCTGTGATCTCTCCCGACCCTGTCCCCACCGCCTTAGGGACACGCGATCCAGAGGTGACAGGTCACTCCTTAAACCCTTTTGCACTTCGAGCCGCACTGTTGTGCCTGCGCTGCCTCGCATTTCGCTTCGGTGAGATCCCTTAAAAAAAACGGGGGGGAAATTGCTTTTAAGAATTCAAAACCCCCAAAGTACCTCCCGGAGAAGGAGAAGCAGCATCCCGGCGGTTCTGGGCTTTCTGCCTTCCCACGGCCAGGAGCCGTGGTGGCCGTACACCTGTATCAGTGGATCGATCCGTTCTCCTCCGCGCATCCCTAACTTGCCTGATGGAAATTAAGTATTCTGCCTTCTTTAAGTTAGAGACTCTACAGAAACAAACTGTTGAGCCGGATAGTCTCACAGAATTTGTTTCACAATCTAATACTGCAAAAAGAAAGTTTAGTGCAATTACAGCTCCTCTCTTTTTTTGTTGTTTGTTTGGGGGGTTTTTGTTTTGTTTTGGGTTTGTTTTTGTTAAATTTAACAATCATTTCCATTTGGCTTTCATCCACTTCCTTTCGTTTACTGCCCCCGAATTAATTTGATTTCTGTCATGCTGGGAGAGGGCCCGGGAGAGGGCAGGAGGAAAGCATCCGGCCCGTGGCATTCCCTGTGTAGCTCCAATTTTCGTGTACCCTCAAGTATGCTGAAACAGCATGAAAAGAAGTATGTGCTTCTACTCGGAGCCCCTTCTCTAAATCTGAAAACCCAGTCTTAGACAAGGCCTAATATTCTCCCTCTACATTTCCCCCCCGCCTCGAAATTCTTCTCCTTTCTCTTTTAAATCAGCTGTTCTCGAGATCTGCAAAATAGTTTCATAAAGGACTTCAGTAGCTCGGAGTTCTGGTAATTTCAGTGGCATTTAGGGTGAAAAACGATGATCAGGTAAGGGAAGGTCCTTCGGCCTCGACTATCTCCCTCATTTCCCACCTCCTGGTGCCCGGCCTCTCGGCAGGAGGCAACGACCAGTTGGGAAAAAGTTGTAAAAGTTAGAGTTTTGAGAAACACGGAGAGGGAGCCCTCTCCAAATTATTATTTTTGTCCGACATTGCCCAGAAAAAGGAGGATAAATAGGGGGAAAAAAACCCCAAAACCAGCGAAATAAATCAAACAGTGCAGCGAGGGCTTGAAGACTGGAATGGGATAAACGCAATTGCAGAGTCTGCGATGGGGACTGTCCCTCCTGCTTATCAGAGTTCGGCAGTCACATGGGGGATGGTGAGGGAAGAAGCCCCGGAACGCTTGGGTGTATCCTGGGGGAAATATTTATCCGGGATTTGATTTAAAAGCATGCTTTTGTGGTTTCCTCTGTGTGTAGCAGAAGTCGGGACGGGTCGAGCTGACTCGAAAGCCGGGGAAGGCACTGGGATGGGGTTTGACGGTCCTTCCTCTAAGCCCTGTCCCTGCTGGAAGCAGCCCGGTAGTTTGGTCTTGGGAGAATTTCACTTAGGGAAAAGAAATAGGTTGTATTTTAAAATAGAGTAGAACAACGGGGTTACCGGCAGTGAATTAAGGGTCGATTTAGTGTAGTTTTGATTTAGCGTAGTTTTAGAAGTGAACTGACTGTCACGGTAAGCACCTTAATTATTAGAAGGCCCTGGTGTGATCACAAGACGATATCTGACAAGTTGTGTTCTAAGGGGGCTTTGTTTTTTGCTTTCAGTATCTAAAGGAAGGGTAATAAGAGAAGTTTAATTTTTTCCACTGTATTTGTTTTCTCCCTCACCTTTCTGAACTTTTGAACATTTTCGTTGTGGGATTTTTTAAATTGCATGATATGTACTTAAACAGCTTCTTGGTCTAGCCTATTTTAAAAAGTAGAAGAGGAAAGTGAAAGGAGTCCAGGAAAAATAACGTGCAAATACTGACAAGCATTTGAACCAGACACTACAGTCTGTACAAAATTTAGCAGTCTCATTAGAGCAGTCTGTGTGTCGTTTGCTGGATCAAGCTGGGGAGCCAGGGTGGCTTGCCCCGGGAATTATGCGAAACACAGCCAAATTGCTAAGCTTTTGAAGTCAGCTGCATGCTTTTTATTCATTCTTTAGATTGTAAAATTATTTGTGAAATGCAAAATGTACCTAAAGACCTAAACTGATCTAGCGTCAGCCGTGTGCCATTCCGGGTACATGTGCTTGACATGGTTGGGGTTTAAGGCAAGAAAAGGTGGCAGATTTCCTGACTTGTATTGGCTACAAATGCTGCAGTTATGAGGCTTTTTGTTTTGTTTTACTTTTAATTAGCAAATATAATAAAAAAAGAAAAATGTTGAATGAAAGTGCACTGCTTTCTTGGCTTTTTTGATACTTGTTGAAAATCAGAAAATACTCACTGAAAAGCTAATAAGCAGAGGGAAAACTCCCTCTTGAAGAAGAAATATCAATAAAAATGCCTAGTTAGTGAAATCACAAAAATTGTCAGACCCGGTTCTTCAGCTTCCAGAAAAAAAGATACGGTGCTTAGTGGAGAAATCATGAAGCTGGGCTGGGCTCTTCTCTTGCTCCACTGTCCTTTTGTCAATCTCCTGCCTTTGTGATGTTTGTGCTGTGCTTTGCTGGAGTTACACCTCCAGTTCTGCAGCTACCAAAACAGCTGGTTTGTGTGCTCTAGACCCCTATGATGTGACTCCTAAAGTGATCTGGGAATCCTTTGTGCCCTACCGACCCTTTTGAAATCACTGAGCCAAAATTTCACTTCACAGGACATCTGCTGCATTTACCAGAAAAAGATTTCCAGAGCCACTTGCAAAAGGATCCTCTGTTTTCAGGGTCTCACTTGGAGGGCCATCAAGCACAGCATCTCTGCAGAGCACTCAGGTCTCCTTGCTTTTGTGATAACTGGCCTTTCCCTTCCTTGCAGGACACCTGAGCCCCACTGCCTGCACCCTGAGGAAGCACAAGACGAATAGGAAACCCCGAACTCCGTTCACCACTTCCCAGCTGCTGGCTCTGGAGCGCAAGTTCCGCCAGAAGCAGTATCTGTCCATCGCCGAGAGAGCAGAGTTCTCCAGCTCCCTCAACCTCACAGAGACCCAGGTCAAAATCTGGTTCCAGAATCGGAGGGCCAAGGCCAAGAGACTGCAGGAGGCTGAGCTGGAGAAGCTCAAAATGGCAGCGAAGCCCATGTTGCCATCGGGGTTCAGCCTCCCTTTCCCCATCAACTCTCCCATCCAGGCTGCCTCACTGTATGGAACATCCTACCCTTTTCACAGACCTGTGCTTCCTATCCCTCCTGTTGGACTCTATGCTACTCCCGTTGGATATAGCATGTACCACTTATCCTAAGAAGATCAGAAAGAAAAAGTGACAGTAAGACAGACTTCCTGGTGGATCATGTCCAGCCCTGGGAAAGCAGTACCCCAAGCAGTACTGGCCATTCCTTCTGCACGCTTCTCTCTGCCATCCTGAGTGTATGGGAGTTTGTGCTAGCAAAGCAAGGCATCCTGTATGCTACAGGGTGGGCATCTTCTGAGAGTGTTCTGAGCACTCAGAGTCTGATCCTCAAAGAAAAAAAAATATGTAAAAACAAACAAACAAAAAAAAAAGAGAAAAATATTTGAGCAAATGTAGGGGTTTTATACAGTGCACGTAAAACGACTAAAAAAGAACGGGTGAGAAAGCAATTTTATCTTATGGAGGCAGAGATTTCCTGACACCTTCCTGATGGGGCCCAACACAGGTTTAAAGAAAGAGGGGTGCATGCCCTCACACCACCCTCTAAGTTGCCATCACTTAGTATGGGGGCAGTGGGGAGGGAAATAAAAAGGTATAATCAACGTTTTGTTGTTTGGTTGTTTTTTTAAAGAAAGCAGAGCCTGTAGCTAGAGACACTGTGTAAATAGAAGCTAGACCCAGTAGAGTCTCAGTGAAGTTCAGAGCCAGCAAATTCCTGCATTTCTAGGGGTAGGGAAAATTTTTGCATCCCAAACCTCGGCAGATGAGTGCAACAAGATGAGCATCAGGGCACCTAAATGTAGAGCCCAGCTTTATGCACCATGGCTCCTGTAACGCCTTTATTTGTATAAATAGCTTCAGCATTTGTAAAGCACTGTGAGGGGAGGTGAAGTGCAAGGAAGGGTTATTAGGCAGTCTGGTCTTTATCTCTTCCTATTGGCAGGCTTAGAAATGTTTGGCTACAGCCAGGTAATCTTGGCTCTGCAATGTGCTTTGAAAACCAGGAGAGAGGGAAGGAAGCTTTCTGGGGAAAGAAGACATGGGTTGTTTCCACGGTGGTGGAGAGCAAAGGATTGTTGAACACTTCTGGGAGATGTCTGGGGTTTTTATTATTATTTGCCACAACCTGTATTACATAGAAGAACCCCCCTGAGTCTTCCTCTTCTTCCCTTGCTAAGGATGCCAATATAAGTGACTCATGCTTCAAGCCCTTCTAAAGAGAGATCCAGGTATCACAAACAATCAACCCTGCGAGTAGGACGATGGGGTGCCAAGAGACTGCGTAACCTGTCTGTCCCCGTGGGAGCTCCTGAGTGCTGGCAGTAACTTCCCCAGGCTTCTCCTTATAACTATTGTATTATGTGTATTACTCTTGCTAAACTTTATGAGGAAGTTACTCCAAAGGCTGTTCAGCACTGAAGTTGGAACTTCTCCTGGATTTATTTTCTTAGCATGCTGTTGTGGAAGAAACAAAACAAAACAAAAA